GATTTTACATTCAATAACAAAAGTACCATTTGTGTTTTTCCTGGCACAAAGACTTCTAGCAAAATAGATGAGCTGGGTGCTACAGTGTCGGTGGTGGCGAAGATATGCATATTTAGGTTAAGAAACTGATAAAGATGGCAGCAATGACTAGCAGCAGGTACGAACTTCTCTAGCTATGTCAGGAGTATCAGCACACTTTCCTTTTCTTTTTCTCCCATTGATCAGACTATGGTCAGGCCGCTGCTGTCCATCTCCTCCGCAGACAACAGTGCATTGGCGTCACCCAGTACTCATTACATTTGACTACTCCATGGATTCCAAGCCTTCAAGTTCAAGGGCATTTGCAGGTAGAGCCTATCAATGCACAGGCCTTCAAACAAAATATCCTGAGTACATTTAAATTTGTAAGGTGCTGTAGTATGTAATGTTTTTTAAAATTCTTTTTTTCTTGAAATATATTAAAATATTTTGTTATTTTTGTTAACATTACATTAAAACTATGGAAAAAAATTAAGTTATTTTTTTAGACCAAAAACTTTTAAAATATAGTCAAACGTAATTATAAAGCAAGGAAAAACAGTCACTATTCGCTTCTCTTTAAAAAAAAGGTAACATCATGTCTATAAGTTTTTTTTTTTTTTGTGCACACAAATTTCTATGAAGATTGGGACTTTTTTTGTCCCGCGGTGATCCCAATAATGAGCATCTCTTCAGTACGAATTTTTAAAGTAACTGCAACGGAGGACATTCAAGTTCGAAGTATGCATAGAAATTTAGATAAATTGTGAAATTAGTATCTACAATATAAATAAATACTGAAATAGAATATGATAAAAAAGGTTTCATGAAATATCATTGCCCGAGTATGTTATGGTTTAAAAATATAATATTTGAGGATTTTGAAAGTGATATTTAATTAAATTTCATGTTTTTAAATTGTAATATTATTAAAATATTATATTTTTAAATCATGACTTGTGAAAAAATACCACGGTTCAAAATTATAATATTTTTAAAAAGATTATTTTAAAAAATAGCTGAAAATTTAATAAAATGATTGAAAAGTAACCAAAATAATCGTTTTAGCTATTATAAAGTTGAGTTATTTTCGTGTTTTAAAACTAAAAAAGTTTATAAAATCATAATTTTTATTAATTTGAAATTTTATTGACTTTATAATTTTAAATAATTGAAATTTTTATAATTTTATCAAAATTAAAATAAAGTTTCTTCTATATAAAAACTATACTTAAGATTTTATCTTGCTTAAAATTCAGGGTTGATTTGAATTTTTTTTAATATTTTTTAAAATTAATTATATTTTTAATTATATTTTTTCTATTAGATTATTGTCCTTGATTTTTATAATTTTGATTTGCTTTTCATTGCATAGGATATTGTTATATTTTTTTTGTTAAGTTAATCCAAGTTAATTTAACAAATTAGCATTTAAATATCTTTTCACTGAAAACAAAAACAAAAAAAAAACTACTAAATCTCTAAAAGCCAGTTCCATAGGCATATCAAACTGGATAGCTTGTTGTAGGAGGTAAGCTTGTGGCGCGCTGCCGCTACTCGTATCTTCCTCTTCTTCTTCTAAACCCTGCAGTTTTCTGGAGGTCAGAGGTCATTAATAAGGGCAAATGCGAAACTGTAGAAATATGGGATACTTGTTGACGCCCAGCCCATTAGAAGGGATATGTTTTGGGCTGTCTCAAATGAGCTGGAACACAATGGCGTGAGCCCAGTTCACTTAAGGCCAAGAAACTAATAGGCCCATTTAAGGACCCAGTAAATGCTACTATAAGGACCAGAAACCTAGGCCGAAGCTCCATCAACTAACATAGTTATTATGCCTTCAATTTTGAGCCCCATAGCAAAGTGAATGGATCTGGGCCTTCGACCCTTCCTCTCAGTGGTGCATACTTGAGCTATGACTTGGACGGTGGCTATAGTCTGCTAAACAGCTTCCAAAAAGGAGGCCTCATTTTATGTGCCCTACTAGGGGGTCTCGTGATATGCTGGTTCCAGTTTCCCCAAACGTTATATATAGGTGTGGTAATACTTTTAAAAAAGCAAGAAAAATTTTAAATTATGTGTCATTAGCTAGGTTCAAAAAGCTCTATTAATTTAATAATATAATAAAAATATGAATAAAAAATATAATAAAAAATTTGACAACAATTAACTACAAAAAAATACACTATCAATTACTAGGAAGGAGAATAAAGAAAATACCGTTGAAGATTCATTATCTCTTTACTATAGACATTGTCCCACCATCAGTGTTCATAAAGAAAGTTTTAATGTCACTATGAAAAATTACATGATGACACCAAAAGGGGCCACTTACATCACGAGAGGAATGATTTAAAAAGTAAACCAAATTAAAAATTTTGAAATGGGTATTTCATTTTTATATCTAATTAATTAATTTAATTTAATTTAAATTTTTTTTAAAAGCTAAATTTAACAAAGAATAACAAATAAAAAGACTCGAGATATCTAAAGTTATTTTTGAAATTAGTAAAAAATTCTATAGAAAAAATATTAACATCAATCTTAAATTAAATAAATATTGAAGAATGAAATTAAAAAAATAATCTTAATAAAAGAAAAAAAATCTCCCAAACTCGTAACCCATGAAACCCTAAATATGAGTTTAATCAAAAAACTTAATTTTCAAACAATTTAATATTAAATGATAAAATTGGGATAAAAATATCAATTTAGAAAATTTATCAAAGTAAAAAAATTTTAAGGGGAATAAAATAAGAATATCAATCAAAAGAATAAAGACCAAATCTAACATATAAATAAATTGAAGGAGGATGAAATTAAAAAAAAAATCTAATTTTATAAATTATTTCAAATAAAAAAA